CCATCCGTACACCTATCTGACAGTTGCTCCTCAGCAATTTTTTAACCCTTTAGTCAGTTTCGAGCATTTCTGGATGACAAGTAATGACCTCCGATCTCTGAAAGCCCTACTAGTTTTGTGAAAAATCCACACCTGGTAATGGTAAAAGACAAAAACTGAGGTCCTGCTGCAGAGAAGCCCGTTGCAGCCTATTCTCAGTTCTAAGAGAAACTCCCAAGTGGCCAAACAGTGCGGCAGCGCTGGCACTGGCTGACGGCTCAGCACACGCACAGCTCTGCCAGCCACAGCGAGGGCATCAGATGGGCTTACTGCAGGGACGAGGGACAAAGGTTTGCTGAGGACATGGCAGAATGGGTCTTCAGGGATGCAGGACACAAACTGATAGGAAATCAAGTTTCATTAGTTTCTCTGCTCAGGGAATGAATTTGTTGTTAGGACTGTGATGATTTAGGTTTATATAGGTCACCATGCCAGTCAAAGACATTTCACTTATATCTTCAGCCTGCTTGATCTGCAGCATTTTTAATACGCAGTATTAGCCCGACTGATTTATTGCTATTTACGAACCACACTTACAAAGACTTTGTTTTCTCTCCACACTCAACCACCCCATGCCTGAAATATAGAAGATGCACGTTGTTCTGTTGGTGTAAACAAGACATAAGTCTCTGCTCTGATTTTGTGACATTGTCTCTCAGTGCCTTCTGGAATACATATGACTGATTTAGCCTCTACTTCAGCTATTTTCTGTTGTAAGTAAATGATATGGTACTTTTCGTTTTCCATTTCTCCTGGAAATCTGGTACTGAATATCTAGAGCTACCAGTCTAGATTGCCTTCCAGCATAAATTCTTATTCATATCCCAAGCGGCTTCTAAACTACTTATTCTCTATTAGGGTCAGTTGCATTACTTCTTAATGGCATGCAGCACTGTTTTTCCTAGCCCTGACTGCCTTTGAGCTAAGTGATTTAACATCATCATTATTCTGACTATGACTTTGTTTTTTACATTCACATGCATACATAAACAGTTAAATTCTAACCTGATTTGAACAGCTACAGTGTCAAAATCAGTTGTATTTGGGTGTTAAGGATGTAAAGGGCGGCCGCTGAATCCAGCAGACTGCAGGACGGGGGATTCCTCCTTCCCAGCCGCTGGAGCCCAGCCCAGTGTGTCCTGAGGCGCAGGAGGTCTCTCCTCCCGAGGCTGATGGATGTGGCTGCTATTCCTGTGAGCAGGTTTGGCCACTAGCAAGGCTCATCACGAATGCCAAGGAGGCGCGCACACACACGTGCGCGCGCACACAGACGCTCACGCACACAAACTAATGTGACTGGCCACACAAACTACCGGGTAGAGCACTGCCCTTAGCGACACTCACGCAAATGCTACCAATCCTCACATAAATGTAAATAGAGATAGTCTAGTCCTATTCCTCCTCTCCAGTTGATCAGGATTGAAGCTCACTACTGTAAACACACACGCCCTCACTCTCTAGATGCAAAAGTGTGCTGACACTCGCAGATCCCTTGAATATCAGCAAGGCTTCTAAGTCCATCGAACATCCATGCCAGGACATTGGGCTCCCTTGCTTAGTATGTTGGTCTCCTCCTTCTTGCTGGCTAGTCCAGCTTGAGGTTCACTAGCAAAAGATGCATGTACCCACACACTTACCTCACGAGTAACACCACAATCACAGATCCCTTGAATATTAGCGCAGGATCTCAGTTCACCTAACACCCATGCATGTACCCTAGGCCCCCGTACCCCCCACTGGCTCAGACCTTGAGTCTTTCCAGACGCACACCTCCTCGTACTCATCAGTTAGTCCAGCTTGAAGTTCATTAGCCAATTGCATGCACACACACGCGTACACAGAGAGGATTAAATTCACTGGGGAAAAATAAACACACGTAGGCCTTTCCAGGTGCTGCCATTTAGACCTCTACACACAAACATACACCCTAGCCTCTCCAGTTGCTGGCACCAAGACCTACAAGCCCTATGGCCCACGGTCCCTGCAGTTGTTGACACCCAGACCTCTCTTGCATGCTGGACTTTCCAGTTGCTGGCACCTAGACCTACAGCCCCTGTGACCTGCGGCCCCTTCTCCGGCTGCTGGTACTTAGGCCTTGCAGCATTCACACACAGGACAGAGAGTGAGATTAGACAGAAAAAATAGTTAATACAAGGATTTAATAAGAGGATAGGATAGACTGCAATGATCAGGCACAGGGCTCATCCGACTCACATACTGACTGGCAGCCTGCTTACAAACCGCTGGTCCCTTTTATTCCCCCTCATCTCTGTTTTCCCATGCTTCTTCCCTGCTAATCCACTCTAATTCCCCCTTTCTCCACCTCTGGCCCTTCCCCTACACATCCCATAACAAGTTTTGCATAGTCCCACCGGCCTCCCTCAAATATCCCATAATACTCATGCTAGTCTTGTTTCCCCCTTCTTATCAGCTACAGAGTTCAGATTGACCCTTTTCAAGGCTATGCCTGAGTAGTTAGCTTAATGGCCCATCAATCAGTGGCTAAACAGCTCTGGTCTTCGTTATTGTCTCTGTTATCACCTGCTTGTTAGGATTGTGTATCTGTGTGCTTAATTTATCACTTTCCTTGTTATTTGTTATTTCTTTTATACTGAACAGCTTTAACCAGGAAACTTAATGAAGCAGATGCTCTCACATTCCACATACCCTTACCATATACACTTTGCAAGCTCATGATGCATGGGGTTGCATTAGAGGGGAGAAGGATCTGTAAGTTGAGAAGCCCATGAATAACTGGTTTTGTACAAGCAAGAGAGAACAGCAGTTGAGAAAGAGAATGAAAAATAGAACAGACATCTCAGAATGACATAGAGCTGCAGCATCCCATATGTCTTCTTTAATGTATAGGTTTCACTCCAATTTATTGCTGTTCTTCAGTATTTCTATAGTTTTACAATGTCAAATATGAAAGTTGCTTCAGAAGATGCAAAAAGAAATTTATCATGTCACCATCCTGCTATTGTGGGCAGCACAGACATACACAGAAAAACAAGAAAAAGATGCCGCCAAAGCAGCTCATTCAAGTAAGAGGCCATCCAAAGAACAGTTCGGCAGGACAAAAAGGTACAGCTCCACTGCAAGTGAACTTTAGAGAGCATGTTTCCCTGCTCTCGATTTCAGTCTTGCTAGTTATGAGAAAACGTGATACCATTCCCAAACGTAATCAGCTTTCAGCTTTTGATTGCTTCTTTCTCATTGCCTAGAAATCCCAGGCAGGATCTGGCTCCCCTGCAAAAGTACTTGCATCAGTCATGTCTAATAAAATTGTACAGCAGCTTGGAGTTGTGAGTCAGCTTTAGGGACTATTTGAATCTGTCCCAATGTCTGTGGTGAGACAGGGAGATGGTTCAGAATGGTATCACGTGTATTCCCATAATCTTGAGTGATGATCCAGAATGATAAATCAGTGAAAAGTTGTGCTGCTAAAGTTATTATACTCATCCTCATGACCACCCTACCGGACTACCTCCCCTTTGACCAGAAGTAATGTTGAAGCAAATAAGATTTAGATAAAATATTAGGAAAAACTTTCCAGAACAGTGAAAGTTTACAGCATGGTAAGAATAGTGAAGCAGCTAGATCAGTATCCTTGCAAAATTCTGGAATCCACACTGCAAGTTTTCAGGAACTAGTTAGTCAAAACATCTCCCAAGAATGGCAAGGCATAGCTGATCCTCCCCTGGGACATGGGACTGGACCAGACTGGCGGTTCCCAGGAGGAGAGACTGAATCAGTGGTGTAAGGCATGTGGATTAAGCCAATAAGATGTAGTGGACATTTGCTAAATAACGTTTCTCTGAGAATCAGAACTGGACCTCCCCTATCTATGAGAAGAAGTCTTTTCTCTTCCACAAAGGCCCATAACTGCATCCTTAGACGACAGCACAGAATTTGCATTCCAGTAGACAGAAAGTACGCTTTAATAGTGGATTTAAACCATTATTAGAACCTGCCAGCCCTGAGCTGCTCCAGGGCCCATCATAACTTAGCGCTGGAGGTCTGTCTAAACCACTGCAGTCATTTGCTATTGCAGCAGACATCAGCTGTGGCTATGACCCAAGACAGACTAGCCACCGTCACCCCAGGCAACCTTCCAAGTCCCCATGAGAAGCTCTGCAAAGGTTTCTTTCTGCTACCTTCACAGCATCTGCTGTAGGGGAATA